CTGGCATGCCATAAATCAACCGATAAGGCGACCTTGTCCACCGACTACGTAACGGTATATGTCCCTTTTGAATCCTTGCTATCAACCTTAAGGGCAACGTCCTTTTCTTGAAAAATTTCACTTGAATCTCATCGTATCGTTTGTGCACTGTTCGCCCTCGGTATCAGTCACTTTGGGCCGCTTTAGTGTGGAAGATACACGAAAGGACATCCCATTGTATGCATTTCTAGACAAATACGTATCATTTAGGAAAGATGAAAACAATAACAAAAGTCAGAACAGAAACAAAAATCCTGCTGGTTTTTTTTTTAAGTGGAGAGATGGAAACTCGTTGGAGAGCTTTAGAAAAAATTCTAAAACAATTTCTATATGTTTCCTTGAAGTTGGTATCAATAAAATTCCCAACCATTTTTAGCCACTTAAGGTTTTGTCAATTGTACAACAATGATTTAAAACCCAAATGGTACTGAGTGAATGATCTACAAACTTACACCAGAATGACCCTAAGCTATTGTTATAAGTGTAATATTAAAGTAAGAAATCTGTTATCTTAACTGTGATTAAATACCAAGAAATCTCAAGCTCTTAGTCCATGTGTTTAATCTATCACATGAAATACTTGAGGGAAACATTATAGACTTTACTACAACACATGACAGCCATGGGCGTTTCTATTTACAGGTAGAGACGAACCACATAAACCTCAGTCCATGCCGGGCTACAAAAACGATGGGAGTCTGGGTCAGAGCTACTCTTTGTAACAGCAAATGCAACTCACTGGAAAATAATTGTCTTTTTTTAATCTTTAAAATTACTCTTACAAGAAAGTTTAGTGTGGATTAAATGATCAACTCAACCTCTCTAAAATTTCCACCTTTCTAAAAGTGTACTTTATGGTGGCGTTGACCTGAGCCAATATAATTCAATTGACTTTCAACAGCTTCTACATATTCTTGGTACGTTTTAAAATGTGACTGAATGACTGTAAATGGCCATAGCTCTCGACTAATACGCACAAAATGTTTCCTTTAGTTAATAGAAATATGGCATCCACATAATCAAGTTACGGGTCTGGAAAAACACTTATTCCTTTCTCCTTTCTTATAGCAAAGCGCATATGCCACCCTTCGATTAATTTAAACAATTACTACAGCTTATGGCTTTTCTGGGTTTGAAAAGGAATTGAAGTGAGATTTTGATCAGGGTCAATGACTAGGTATCCTCCTTTTAGTTGGGATCAACGACGACAACCATCGAGTGCTTCGGCCGGCAGCAATTGACCAAGTCGAATACGTCGTTTTTAAACTTGCTCAAGTACGTTCTATAGAAAAGTGCTCTATCCGTAAAAAGAAATAAAATCAACTTAACGAAACCGGTAAAGTCATTTACCTTGTATCGTCAATTGAAAGTTCATGGGGTAATCATAAACAAGATTGAATGAACCAATCAGAACACTACAAATTCAAATGAAAAATTAATTATGTCAGTTAGTCAAAAATTATGACGCATTTTTTTTTTCTGGAATCTGCAATGATAAGCCATGGGGATTCATTAGCTGAGGGGGCAGCAATAGACGAAGGACAGCTGAGGACATTATTATTGGTGGCTGTGTTTAAAAATGTTCCGTCCACTTTGAAGACATTCAACGTCTTTTTTTTTCTCGTCACAAACCACAAGATAGTTAAAGGTGTCAACAGCGAGTCCACGTGGCTGACTCAAGTGTCCTTCACGTGCATTCTCTTTGCCAATATCATAAAGAAAGTCCCCGTCCTTATTAAATGTTTTAACACAACGAACTTCGAGGTAAGACACGAAGAACATGTCTTGATAACAAACAGCCTTCCACGGGGAGCTATCACAGTCTGTCCCATCAGGGGAGAGGACCTTGACTGACTTGTCACCGCCATCGCACACCAGGAGGCGGTCATTGCTGGTTACACTCAGTGAAAACGGACACTTGAGTTTTTTTTGGTTAATACACCCAAGAAAATTACCACTTGCAGCAAAACAAAACATGGTACCAGATTGGGTGAATGCGACAGAGGTGGGGTTTGTTAGTCTTATAGCCGCTGACCCCTTCTCACCGAGGTCTATAAGATGCTCAGAATTATAAAAATCATACAGTTGCACTCTTTGTTCCTCTCGATCAGCTACTGCTATCGTCATTTTGTTTTTGTCTACTGCAACAGCGCAGGGATCTTTGAATTGTTTGCGTGCTTTACCTGGTGATCCAAAGTAATGAAAGAAACTATATTTATGCGGTGTCACGCTTACTTTCCACGGACTACCAGAAAGTGGTTCATTATTAATTAAAACTGTCACTTCATGTTCTCCATCACAAGCTGGCGTGTACCTTACCCTGTATGTCCCACGTGGCACCCAGCTATCAGTCTTGCTGTCGAGGACTAGTCCCGTCGGACTCCGAACTGTCACTTTGATTTCATCGATTTCATGATAGCACTGTTCTCCTTCTGAATCAATTGTAACGATGTCAAAATCCTTTGTTCGCCCAGCTTCAGGTTGTTTTAGGTCATTATCTTGCAAATGACCTTGAAGGATCTGTATTGCTATCCAGTAGTTCGCCAGGAGATCTACCTTTCATTGCTCGAATGTGCTTCTCAAATAATTGGTAGTGTGCATGACAGGGTACGTAAATGTCCAGTTTTGTTTCTTTCAGAACTCTTTTACATTTTTCGGTGTCGTTAATTTGTGTTTGTAGAGTTTCAAAACTGGCGTCTCTCTAAAGTGACTCTACCGGGCATAAAGGGCATGTCTGAAACCATCTGACCCGTCCTACAACCCTTTAGTATCCGTGTCGCCTACAAACCCACCACTACACAATGTTAGTTACTAACAAACGTCAAAAACAAGGAAGAACCGAAGAACAGACAGGGAGCGATTGATAGGATCGATAGCTCAGACTGCCACGCCTCCTACATCAGAGAGACTGACAGAAACTTTACAACAAGACTGACTGAACACAAACGAATGACGATAAATAGTGGTGTCAACAATCATATAGCTTAACAACATTGACTTACGAACCACTCTATTGACTGAGACTCTGCGCAATGCCTGACCTGTAGTACTTACTATCCTCAACCACTGACTGGTCGCAAACTTTGAACAGGCTACACTTTGTTCTTAATTTTTTCCCCCAAGATAGTTTTTTTCTATTATGGGGGCGTTTATCGATAAATTATCAGTATATAGTCTGGAAAGAACGAAGAAAAAAGAAAAACCCCGCAAACAAACAAAATCAAAGAAACAAAAAAAAACAGCATTAAAAGATGCTGACCTTCAATTTCAGGTTTCTCTCTTTGAGTCATGCTTGATGTTTTCAATTCAACTAACTTTTCGATCACCTCATCTAGTTTATCTTTCACATTGCCTTCGTCTTTCTTCCATTGGCTGAGGAGTTCTTTGTAGTAATCTTCAACTTCAGGGTCCATACACTCTGTTTCAAGATCGTCAATGGCTGTTTTGTATTTCGCTCCACCCAGTCTCACTAGAGTGTCTCGGATGTCGCCCCAGCATGCGTTGAACGTCGCATCATCCACTAAAGCGCACTCAGTATGACCGTATACAGAGTTTCTGTAATATTTAACTCAGGCGATATCAGCTTCAAGACTCACATCTGTTGCAGTAGGAAGTGTATCCCAGCCTGCTGCGGGAGAGGGTAAGCCGCATAGGTTTCGAAGCAGAATCATTAAAAGCGTAATATCAAAGTCGCTGGAAGACACTGAAGATGGAATAACAGGATAGAGCTTTCCCCATTGCGTTGCGTTGATAACCTTTCTCTTTCTCAGCGGCTGTAAAGTTGCTTTATTGGCCGCCAAAACTGATTGAAGATTCGCTGGTGGATGGATGGCATTGAATGTCTCTAAGGGCCTGGGTACCAGCATCAACAGCAGACGACATAGACCCGTGAAAACGTGAGAATTTTCAAAAGTTATTGTTTTATGCAAATCTTGTATTAAATTCATACAATGTTAAATTAGCCTTTTCATCCTACTCTGTAACTGAGACGTGAATATGTCCTTTTCAGCTTCGAATTAATTAAAAAAAATTCATGGTAAATTTAAGGAAAGTTCAGCAAAAAAAAAAAGGAGAAAAAGGAACACAAACACAAAGAGTGGCTGTGGCTTATGCCTTACTTAATTCTGACAGGGAATCATATTAATGGACCAGGAAAATCATCATGGTTTTTGACCAGAAAGGTATCCCTTTAATATAATTTTATTGGAAATTGGTAGCCCTTTTATCTGCGTTCAGGAAACAAACTTATGTTCTCCAAACTGTTTCTTTTATTTATTATAATAATAAACTTTTAAAAACATTTAAAAGTACTCAAAAACCTTTTCAGAAATACAGCTATTCTTCTTCAATTTCACTTGAAGGTTCGAGTTATCGGTATTCAACTGTAGGTGCTCCAGATGGGGCTAAGAAGTAAGTCACTTTCTGTCTCTTTTTTCAACTTTTAAATCGCTCAAATACGAAATCGAAATACTGATGAGAAGAACACCTACAATGTTCTCTTAGACTAGCTCTCTAAACAGTACTTTAACGTTACGTTTAACTGAGCCTATCAAACTGAGTTTCGTCATATTTAAAACATAATCCTTGGAATTCTTCTTTCCATTTTATAAAATGGCTCACCTACTAGAAAAATGGATTTCAGATTATCAATGCACGCGTCATATCACATACCATTTACTCAATAAAAAATGAAACGAATTTTTTTTTACACTCGGTACATTGAAACAATTAAAAATGAGGAATATTCATTCTTAGAGATAATTAGGAGCTAAAAATTAAGATTTATTTGGGTTAAACATGGAATCAAAGCGGGATCTTGATCCGGGTGAATGACTGGACTTCCTTCGCTGTTTGAACAGAGAGCGAAGGTAATCAAAATCAGTTTTATGTCGGACGATTAACTGAAGTGATGTTAAAAGGCAAAAAGGTAATTGTTTATTACGAACGTTAGATATTTGCAG